AAATAGGATTGTAAAACAAATGGGGCTCAAAGATTCTGGGAGAATCTGGGGGGATCGGATTCTGAGAGAATCCCTAGATTCGGGAAAAGAACTGGGCCCTAGAATCATATGCCCCACTCACTCCTCCATGCAGTTTGTTAATGTTCATGGTGCTACAATGCATTCGATTCTCCAACCAAAAAAAGAAAGAAAGAAATAGGACCGTTCCTGCAAAAATGCTTGATGTTCATTCGAATCATGGCCTTTTCCGGCTCGATGTAGCACTATAAAAAGGGGCATGGAGTTGAGAAGAGAGTCGCACGCAACACCAAGGCAGAGGAAGCAACTTCCTTCCTAGCCATAGATACAAGCCAAGCCATGGAGTGTGGTCACTGCGGCGAGGGCGTGTCCATCCCGCGGGGAGCACGCGCTGTGCAGTGCGCGCATTGCCGCGGGGTGACGCGCGTCGGTCGGCGGCACGGCGCCGTCGGCTTCGTCGTGAACATGATCAGCAACATGGCGGGCGGCGGCCGCACGAGGCCGGCAACGCCGCCGAGGCTGCGGGAGGCGGGCTACCCCAGAGCCCACGGCGACAAGCGCGCCCTCCTGGTCGGCATCAACTACGCGGGCACGCATCTCCGTGAGCTGAGCGGCCCCATCACCGACGTCAAGAGCATGAGCTTCCTGCTCACCCAGAAGTACGGGTTTCCAAGCCAGTGCATCCTCGTCCTCACCGGTAACGACGGACGAACACCCAAGAACTCACCCACCACCTACGCATTTGTTTGTCTGACCATCGTTCTCGTGCTGCTTGCCAGATGAGGAGCGCGATCCGTACAGGACGCCGACCAAGTGCAACATCCTGCTGGCGATGCGGTGGCTCGTGCACGGCTGCAGCTCCGGCGACTCCCTCGTGTTCCACTTCTCCGGCCACGGCGACCAGGTGCGCGACGACGACGGCGACGAGCGGGACGGGAAGGACGAGGTGCTCTGCCCGCTCGACTCGGACCCGGACGACTACGGCAGCGACATCCGGGACGACGAGATCAACGCGGCCCTGGTCCGGCCGCTCGTGCACGGCGTCAGGCTCCACGCCGTCGTCGACGCCTGCCACAGCGGCACCGTCCTTGATCTCCCCAACCTCTGCAAGATCAAAAGGTACAACGCGATTAGCCATCTTCTCCCCTTAATCCTTCGCACCGCAAGTGATTCCACTTAATAATGTCATTGTTTTACCATTTTTGAGGAACGGGGAATCTGAATGGACGGACCAGAGCGCTCCGAACGGCGCCTGGAAGAAAACGAGCGGCGGGCAGGCGGTCCTGATCAGCGGCTGCGCCGACACCCAGACGTCGACCGACGGGATCGGCGACGAGCTCGTGGGCATGGGGGCCCTGACGTACAGCTTCTTCACGGCGGCGCTGTTCGCGCAGCGGACGCCCACCTACGCGCAGCTGCTGGCGACGATAAAGGCCATCATCCGCGAGCGCAACGCCGACGGGCGGATCAACTGCAAGCTCCCCGCGCCCGTCTGCTCGCTCGTCCGCAAGGTGGTCAACTTCAGCGGCGTGCAGGAGCCGCAGCTGACTTCGTCGGACAAGTTCGACATCAACCGGACGCAGTTTCTGCTATGATTGAAACATCACGACATCAACCACGCTCTGCCCTCTGCACCTCAATAATTACGGCAAGCTTTCCTACCTGTTCGTCACAACTGACAAGTCAAACCGATTGTGCTGGATCAGTCAAGTCTATGTGGCTTACTCACGGGCCGTCAAGCGGCGCCGCTTGTGTTGTACGGTGTATTATTACATAGTACTCCCTCCGTTCCTAAATATTTGTCTTTCTCGAGATTTCAACAAGTGACTACATACGGAGCAAAATGAGTGAATCTACACTCTAAAATATGTCTATATACATCCGTATGTGGTAGTTCATTTGAAATCTCTAAAAAGACAAGTATTTAGGAACGGATGGAGTATTTCTCAACAATAATAAATTTGGTGCTTTTAAGTTTTAACTAGCAAAACGGTCTGTGCGTTGCAACGGGAGAAAATAATAATCATAATCTCTAATGGCCATGACCACATTTTGCTGCATCACCGAAATACACCATCACTCTCATTTTCGTGAAAATCGTGAATAATTTTTTAAAAATCACGAACATTTTTTTAAACTCGTGAACATATCTCAAATCATGAACGTTTTCAAATTCTTGAACATTTTTACAGATTTCAAACATTATTCTAAAGTCATGAACATTTTTTTAATTCATGAACATATTTGCAAAAAAAATTAAAAGCTTTTTATTCAATAGGCCAACATTTGTACTATCGACGAACATTTTATTGAAAATTGATGGAACAGATTTTGAAATTCATGATTTTTGATTGAACCAGCATTTTTTTAAATGCACGATCATTTTTTGAATCAGCGAAACTTTCATGAAACCACAAACCTGTATAGAAGAACCTGGCGTTGGTCTCTGCTCGTGACGTATACATCTATTCTCGTTAATTCCATCACGTTTCCGTTCACCTTTGAATTTATAAAATCCATATCCACTACCCTGTATAGAAGAACATGAATCATATTCCTCCTAATCTGCACCTCCCACAAACTAGCAAATAATGGGATAGCGCTTGCAATGATACGACTAGAAGCTAAGCTAGGCGGAGAACCTAGCTTGCAAATTAAGTATCACTCCTATTGCCCACTCTAATCATATAGTCGCTCGGTTTCAATGTACTTCACATATTATATGTCTTTGAGTCTATGATCAAGTTTATAGAAAACCAATATGTTAGTTTGCAATAACAAATACAGTAGTACAATGTATACTAAAAAATGTCTAAATATATGGGATGCGAAAATATAATCAATGAATCTAGTGATATTAAAGATACTGATAAATTTTCTCTTCTCACAAGGTTTGACTCATGACAATATACATATCGAAGTAAGGGCATCTTCAATATAGACCCTTAAACTGGACACCGCATCCGTCTGCAGATGGGGGGAGGGGGGTAGTCCGCAGATAATGATGTGGGAGCCGTCCATACAACAATTGCCATATACATTTCAAACCTGATTTTAACAAATCGGATGAATTACATGCAAACCGGAAGATTTTCATCTAAACTGGAGCACATTTATTACATTTTTGTTATATTTAATTAAAAAAGCGCCCGGACCTAAACATAGCTTATGGCAAAGGCCATCCCCACGTCCAAACGGAGTGCGTGCTGACGCCCAATCGGAGGATCAGGGGGGCGAAGGCGACCGGGTGGGGGATTTGGGCTGGCTGGGCCGGCCCAGGTGGGCTAGGCCCGTTTTTTTTCTTATTTTCCTTTTCCTTTTTTTTACTTTTTCTGTTTTCCTTTTAGTTTTATTTTATTTTTAGTTTATAAAATATGAACTTAGTCCCTAAATTAGTATTATTAATTAGGTTACTGCCATATTTAATTTGGCACTTTAATTAAATAATTGTATTTGTTTATTACTTTGTTATTTTAAAAGCATTTAAATATTTGTTTAGCCCCAGTTTTATTTATTTTAGGGCATTTTTATTACTTATAAAATGTGGGTTTCAACATGACAATTACCAAGGTATTATTTGCAACATTATGAACATTTTTTTTCATGTTTGAAAAATTTGAATTTTGACTTTCAACTTGGATTTGAATTTGAATTATGATTTGGATCAAAGTAAAGATTAGCAACAGTAATGTGATGACATGGCACCATTAACATAGGATTACTGTAGCTTAACAAACACGATGTTACAGATCACTATTACAAAAAATTTATTATCAATGCCGGGTCCAAAAATCCCATCGAGGACGACTGGACTGCAGTCAGTAACAACTTTTCACATGATGCTCGTCACTAGTAACAGCGGTACTAATGAAAGGAAGTCCGTGGGAGTTTCCCAATGGAAGTTGGTCCAAGCCCAGACCATTGGCCTTAGCGGTGACGTGCTTTTTTCCCCATCACTAGTACATTTTGGGATTTAAAAGATACTCCCTCTGTAAAGAAATATAAGAGCGTTTACATCATTAAAGTAGTGATTTAAACGCTTTTATATTTTTCTACGGAGGTAGTACAAAATAGTGGAACATTACACAACTTAATTAGGCACTCGAATGAACTACACTTAAATATACATAACTTGAATTCCAGTATAAGCAATATATCACTCAATGGAAACATATCTCTCATAGATTGCACATACACATAGCACAAAACATTACATACAACAATTGAACACACACATGCCACCTAAACATTACATACAACAATTGAACACACACATTTTCTGCATGTTGGGGAACAAAATCATTTATCCATGAACGACTCCCAAAGTCCTCGTATATATACTTCTTTCTTTTCTTTTTACTCCACATATAAGATTTATCTGAAGTCAGACTTCAAAAAGTTTGACCAAATATATATTAATAGATATCAGCATCTTCAATATTAGAGCTATATAATACTAGCAAATATTAGTTCCACGATGCATCTAACGATATTAATTTTGTATAGTGACTGTTGACTTCAGACAAACCTTATACGCAGATTAAAAAAGACAAGATTAAGGGGGGATTAGATGATTCGCCACACTTTATCAGGGGTTTGATGATTTGCCGTAGGTCGTTACTTATATCATCCCATCAGAAAGATGAACAACGCTTAGTACAGACACCACAGATAGCTGGATGAACCCGTACATGCTTCACTTGCAAACTACTCCCTCCGTCCCACAATGTAAGACGTTTTTTGACACTAGTGTAATGTCAAAAAATGACTTACATTGGGACGGAGGGAGTAATAATAATCTATATTAGTACTACTTGGGTACTTAGGTTAGCTCCTCCTAGTGCGAGGCCTCCACTAACCTAAATCATTCCTTACTGTACGTCCACATTTGCATCAGATGCATGTCAAGGTGGTCTTCACTCATCAGTTGCTGCCACACTGTATGTCCGCCTGGAGATGGAGCATCCAAGTGAAGAAGCCTGTCAGGCCCGGAACACCTTGGCCCGCACAGGGCCGTCCGGCGTGTAAGCGGCGATGTCCATGGGTTCCGTGAGCAGCGGCAGCAGCTCGTCCTGAATGCAGGTGTACATCTCCCCGCAGAGCCTCTCGAGGATCTTGTCGAGGTTGACGACCTCCTGCTTCACCTTCACTATCTCCTGGTCAGGCAGCGCCAGGATATCCGTCACGAGCACCTTCGACAGCTGCTCCACGTGGCGCTCCAGCTGCTCCTGCTGGCTCTCAAACAGATTCTGCGCTGGGGCCAAGCTGCCCCGCTCTGACCGGTGCGCCTGCAGTTCGCCGCCGAACATGTGGTAGGCAAACGCGTATGATCGTGACACCACCTGCCGTGACCACAGCAGGCGCTGGTGTGCATCGGTCAGCCAGTCGCCGTCCCTGATCAGCCTTGGTCGCAGGTGGTTCGACTCCAGCTGTTTCACTTTCTCTTTGATGGCCGGCCCCAGCTTTTCGTGTTGCTCCTTGTATGAGTCCTCATGGATCTTGAACCGGTTGCAGTAATGCGCGTATCGCTCTAGCTGCCGCCTGCCCGTGTCCACCTTGTCCTTGCTCTCCTTGTAGCGGTTGCAGCTGTGGCCCTCAATGTTTGTCCATGTGTGCGCGCTACCTGTGGGTCCACCACATAGCCAGCTGCATTCGTAAAAGAACTAATAATCAATAACTGATTTAAGTCGGAGTAGGATGCATGCAGCAGGTAACATAAGAACATTCCTCAGAGAATGAGTGAATTAGCATGTAAGCACTGCAATAAGCATGTGCAGGAATAATGGGATGAAAATTATCCCAAAGGTACGCTGATGAGCAGTTCACAGATTGCTGATCGGGCAGTCGAGCTCACATGTTTTCACGGACAGATGACCCCATATGTGAAAAGAGCTTACCACATATACTGGCCACACTTGCACTTGACCAGGTTGCAACCGTCACGCTTCTCAATCGGCTTGAAGCACTTGGGGCAGCTCTTGGTGTTTTTAACAATCCATTTGATGTTCTCTGACTCGCCATGGATCCTGGTGTTCCACTGCCTCCATATGTTACACGGGCATGGTGAGTGTGTCTGCTCCATACAGTTGAAGCAGAAGCTGACACCACAGAGGCACTTGACCTCGCAGTAACGATCACCAGTGCCCACACGGATTGCGCGTCCACAGTGTGGGATGCTGGGGCACCACTTCACAAAGTCATTGTCCTCAAGATAAGACTCCAGTAGGAAGCGATCAAAGCGCTTGGCTGCATCGGGGTACTTCTGGCCAAGTAGGCGCTGCACAATGCCCTCATCGCAAATAGCCAAGCACTTCACCTCCATGCAACGTATCTGCTTCTTGCCACTGTCTATGGCTGCATTGAAGTGCTCTGTCCAACCTGGAAATTTTTTGAAGTGCCCCGGTAAGAAAATGTTTTTGTTTTTATTTTCAGGTGTTAGGGGTAAGCGAGAGCTGCGTAGACGTGTTTTGCAAGTGATTTTAATCCTCTGCTGTTGCTGCTGCTGGTGGTTGCATTGCATAAGATCAGTCATTGTACATATCAGAATAACTGTACACCTTAAAGTAACTATGCAGGGTCAGAAGATAACTACTGAGGAGAAGGCATGATGAACTCACAGTCATTGCAGAAGCAATGGCCACAGTCCATAGTCGAGACAGCGGCCGGGGACAAGTCATCATCAAAGCACACATTGCATTGGACACTTGTCGAGGGTGTTCTTGAGGCACCTATTAGCATGCTACTCTTCTCCTGCAGTACAATGCCTGCCTCTCTGAGCATGCGGTCTCGCCCCTTCCTGTCAAGGCAATCATAGATGCAGTCTATCTTCCATCGGTGGTGAATGAAGAGACTGCGCGCCTGGTGCTGCTTTATATTGAGCAAATTCATCATTATGGACAAGTCTTCTTGCTGTAGGTACAGTAGATAAAGAAACAGTCAGTGAACCTCAACTAGCAGTAGACGGACTGAATCTAACTCTGAAATCATAAGAAATGGCCAGCATGGCCCATTACCTGGGCCGCAGAAAGGGTGTCTTCTGTAATAGCCTAAAACAACAATTATAATTGTTAAAACCTTAATTAAACAACCATAAGAATCTTCTTTAAAAAATATTCTACATTCTAGTGCAGCTGGCTAATCCGGACACATAAATCACAGACAATGCAAAATACAAGTACAAATGATTGGATAAAATAAGTAGTTTGAGCGAATAATCAATATTTTACTCTAAAGATGAGAGGTTCAGAGCTTTGAGCTTTGGTAACAGACAGGAGCTGAAACTATCAGCAGACCAGGAATGGCATCCATGCTTGATGCCCTCATGTTGCAGTTATTGTCTTATAAATGATTTGTATGGTGCTTAAAATTATAATTAGCAGAACAGATTATTCATTCAGGAAGGGAAGCTGTGCATGTCATAGTGTGTCATCTACTGGTTCATAAAATGTGATTCATAATAATTTTACTATGATATCAGCAAACCAGGAACCAAAAGATCTCGCAACTAAAACAGAGTTTGGAGCCAAGAGAGCTGCGTGATTTCAAGCACGGTCACGCCACTAGCAATATTTTTTCGCTGATCAATCACATTGGGACTCTGTTTCAGTCGGCATTAACAGATTCCAACCCCGCCCCGTCTGGAGCCGATCTGGCGAGGAAACTGCTTGGCGAAACTAGTGCGCTGCTGAAAGGGGATAACAGAGGCTCCCAGAGCAGAATGCAGAGACGCGTAAACTAGAAGTCTTTAAAAAAAAAAAGGACGCGAAGTTCGGCCTGGTCTGGCGAAGGGTCAGGAGCACGTGGAGGCTCGAATCCCCCCGATCTCGCCCCGATAACCCGCACGCGCACGCAATCCAAGGGCACGGAATCCGCCGGCCGGCCAGCCGCGAGAACTCACCCAGCAATCGACGCGGCGCTCCGAGTGCGGCGGGTCGTCCTCGAGCAGGCCGAGGTCGTCCTCGTCCGCCCCCACCGCCAGGCCGTCCCAGTCGGCCGCCTCCTCTCCCTCCTCCTCCTCATCCTCCTCGCCGTCGCCGTCGTCTTCGTAGTAGTAGTAGCAGTCGTCGTCGCTGGCCATGGCGATGGCGGGGTTTGATCGCGGCCGGGGTGGGGGAGCAGGGGGCGGGGGAGAAGGAAGGAAGGGGAGCGAGGGTTTTTCCGGAAAGGCTTCGGGGAGAAGGCTTGGCAGTTTGGTCGCGGATTTTGGCCGGTGGCTGGTGGCTGGGTAAGCCGGAGTGGACCGCTGGCAGAGACCAGAGGGGTTTAAAGGCGGATGCTTTTCGTCTCCGCGGAGGGCAAAAGCCGGAAGGCAAGGGGAGGTTCGACTCGGGCGTGTGTGTGTGTTGACGTGTTGGAACCGGACGGTAACCTATATCACAATCCACCTGAAGGACAAATACAAGTTACCGAAGGGTAATCTGGTTCCTTTCCTTCGAGAATCAGGTAACGCGCTCACCTATTGTAGAGCGCATGCAATTATGTCAATGTCGCTTTCACAATTAATTATTGTATCTAGAATCACGACGTTTATTTTGGAACGGGGTGAGTGCATGATGGGCCCGGCTAAATTATTGCGGTGCACATACAAGCTATGCCACCTCATCATGATTGTTAGGTGGGGGAGATACCATGTGCTTTTTTTGGTCACAAAAGGTAGCATTGGAGTTTGGGGAAGGGAGCAACACCGCGTGTAAGGCTGGAAGTTGTTTGGTTGGATTTTGCAACTAGTACGTGGTGTGTGATTGCTCGGTTAATCTTTCGTTCTTATTAGCTAGTATAGCCGAAAGTTTTTAGTCGCGTCGAACTTTTTCAAGTGAAGCTTGTTAGGATACAGTTAGTGTTTGAATCAAACATGTTATATCCTTGGCCTTTTGTATAATGCGAGTGACAGGACATGTGGTGCCCTCATGTTTGGATTTTGTAATTGATGACATTTTCTATGGACTAATGGTTGCCTTGAGCTATATTTGAAGGATTTGTCCATAGGTTTTCTTGAAGTCCATGTGTTGGTTTCAAGGGGTTTATGTGTTGACCAATGTGCTATTAACGATTTATCCAAAGATTGGTCATGTGTGAGTTGAGCTTATTGCAAACAAGTCTTGAAGAATAAGATTGTGTGAACATTCATGTTTACCTTCAAGACATCATCTTAATGAAGAAAGTTGGAAAGATTTAAGGTTGATCAAGACTATGTACAAAGAGTGATTCAAGTTGGTCGACACACAAAACGTAGAAGATGTACCAAGTGGGATCAAGTGATCTCATGGTATGGTAAGCATTGTCTATTACGCTTTGTGTACTAACCCATGGTCTACGCGAGACTTCTTTGTGGGGTTAGGTATGTTTCCATGGGCTTGCGTCAAAAGAAAGATATCATACAACCCATGGAGAGGATGACATCAAGTGGTGATCGTCATTAAGATTGCGGTGTGCAAGTTCAAGTGAAGCATTACGAAGAGATCAAATGCTTTAAGCTTGCCATCCATTATGGTGACAATGGACTAGTGAAGATGTGCCGAAGAGTGGCTCACCCACAGTGGAGTATGGGGGAGCAATCACCTAGTCTTCATCGACCTAACGCAATCAAGAAAGGTGGTCCATCTTACGGAGGACAAGATCGTCATCATCTAGCTCAAGTGGGTTATACGCAAGGCAAAGGTTTGCACTTGATAGGTTTTCTATTTTACCGGTCTCATGGTGGTAGTTGGGAGACCGGGTTATAGGATCAATTGTCGTACTATCAAGGGGGGCTCTCAAATTGGTAGCTTGATTGAATCGTTCGTAGAGATCCCAAACCATTCCATCCTTGCATCATATATCTTGGTTCTTGTTTGGTTCTTCTCCTTGTGAGATTTGGAGCTTATGGTCAGCTTCATGACAAGCTCGAGTTCATCGAAAACAAAGTTCACATGCATCTTCTATGATGTTTTCGATGTTGGGGTTTTTGTCGGTTATTCATTCATAGAGGTTTCACATCTCTATACCTTTGGCATTTTTCTACTTCCTCTTCTTACTATAACCATTCGCTGCTGGAGTTTGAGTTTGCTCAATTCGGAGCTCATATGCAGAAGTTGTGGCAGTTCTAGTTTTCCTAGTGCATCTGTTTTGCTTGGGGCTTGCGTGTTGCACCCCTGCGGTAGTACCGCTCTGTGCAGCGGTAGTACCTGTTGGAAATATGCCCTATAGGCAATAATAAATTAGTTATTATTATATTTCCTTGTTCATGATAATCGTTTATTATCCATGCTATAATTGTATTGATAGGAAACTCAGATACATGTGTGGATACATAGACAATACCATGTCCCTAGTAAGCCTCTAGTTGACTAGCTCGTTGATCAATAGATGGTTATGGTTTCCTGACCATGGACATTGGATGTCGTTGATAACGGGATCACATCATTAGAAGAATGATGTGATGGACAAGACCCAATCCTAAGCCTAGCACAAAGATCGTGTAGTTCGTATGCTAAAGCTTTTCTAATGTCAAGTATCTTTTCCTTAAACCATGAGATTGTGCAACTCCCGAATACCGTAGGAATGCTTTGGGTGTACCAAACGTCACAACGTAACTGGGTGGCTATAAAGGTGCACTACATGTATCTCCGAAAGTGTCTGTTGGGTTGGCACGAATCGAGACTCGGATTTGTCACTCCGTGTAAACGGAGAGGTATCTCTGGGCCCACTCGGTAGGACATCATCATAATGTGCACAATGTGACCAAGGGGTTGATCACGGGATGATGTGTTATGGAACGAGTAAAGAGACTTGCCGGTAACGAGATTGAACAAGGTATCGGCATACCGACGATCGAATCTCGGGCAAGTATAATACCGCTGGACAAAGGGAATTGAATACGGGATTGATTGAATCCTTGACATTGTGGTTCATCCGATGAGATCATCGTGGAACATGTGGGAGCCAACATGGGTATCCAGATCCCGTTGTTGGTTATTGGCCGGAGAGTTGTCTCGGTCATGTCTACGTGTCTCCCGAACCCATAGGGTCTACACACTTAAGGTTCGATGACACTAGGGTTATAAAGGTAGTTTTTATGTGGTTACCGAATGTTGATCGGAGTCCCGGATGAGATCCCGGACGTCACGAGGAGTTCCGGAATGGTCCGGAGGTAAAGATTTATATATGGGAAGTCCTATTTTGGCCACCGGAAAATGTTTGGGATTTTCCAGTATTGTACCGGGAAGGTTCTAGAAGGTTCCGGAGTGGGGCCCACCTGCATGGGGGGACCCACATGAACGTGGGTAGTGGGGGCAAGGCCCCACACCCCTGGTCAAGGCGCACCAATATCCCCCCTTAGAAGGAATAAGATCATATCCCGAAGGGATAAGATCAAGATCCGTAAAAAGGGGGGATAACAATCGGTGGGGAAGGAAATGATGGGATTTCTTTCCTCCCACCTTTGCCAACGCCCCAATGGACTTGGAGGGCAAGAAACCAGCCCCTCCACCCCTATATATAGTGGGGAGGCTCATGGGAGCTTCACACGAAGTTCTGGCGCAGCCCTCCCCCTCTCCCAAGTACTCCTCCTCTCCCGCGGTGCTTGGCGAAGCCCTGCTGGATCACCACGCTCCTCCATCACCACCACGCCGTTGTGCTGCTGCTGGATGGAGTCTTCCTCAACCTCCCCCTCTCTCCTTGCTGGATCAAGGCATGGGAGATGTCACCGGGCTGTACGTGTGTTGAACGCGGAGGTGCCGTCCGTTCGACACTAGGATCTCCGGTGATTTGGATCACGACGAGTACGACTCCTTCAACCCCGTTCTCTTGAACGCTTCCGCTTAGCGATCTACAAGGGTATGTAGATGCACTCTCCTTCCCCTCGTTGCTGGTTTCTCCATAGATAGATCTTGGTGACACGTAGGAATTTTTTGAATTTCTGCTACGTTCCCCAACAGTGGCATCATGAGCCAGGTCTATGCGTAGTTTCTATGCACGAGTAGAACACAAAGTAGTTGTGGGCGTTGATTTTGTTCAATGTGCTTACCGTTACTAGTCCAATCTTGATTCGGCGGCATTGTGGGATGAAGCGGCCCGGACCGACCTTACACGTACACTTACGTGAGACAGGTTCCACCGACTGACATGCACTTGTTGCATAAGGTGGCTAGCGGGTGCCAGTCTCTCCCACTTTAGTCGGATCGGATTCGATGAAAAGGGTCCTTATGAAGGGTAAATAGCAATTGGCATATCACGTTGTGGCTTTTGCGTAGGTAAGAAACGTTCTTGCTAGAAACCCATAGCAGCCACGTAAAACATGCAAACAACAATTAGAGGACGTCTAACTTGTTTTTGCAGGGTATGCTATGTGATGTGATATGGCCAAGAAGAATGTGATGAATGATATGTGATGTATGAGATTGATCATGTTCTTGTAATAGGAATCACGACTCGCATGTCGATGAGTATGACAACAGGCAGGAGCCATAGGAGTTGTCTTTATTTATTGTATGACCTGCGTGTCATTGAACAACGCCATGTAATTACTTTACTCTATTGCTAACCGGTAGCCATAGTAGTAGAAGTAATAAGTTGGCGAGACAACTTCATGGAGACACGATGATGGAGATCATGATGATGGAGATCATGGTGTCATGCCGGTGACGATGATGATCATGGAGCCCCGAAGATGGAGATCAACAGGAGCAAAATGATATTGGCCATATCATGTCACTTTTTGATTGCATGTGATGTTTATCATGTTTATGAATCTTATTTGCTTAGAACTACGGTAGTAAATAAGATGATCCCTCATTAAAATTTCAAGAAAGTGTTCCCCCTAACTGTGCACCATTGCGAAAGTTCGTCGTTTCGAAGCACCACGTGATGATCGGGTGTGATAGATTCTTATGTTCACATACAACGGGTGTAAGCCAGAATTACACACGCGAAACACTTAGGTTGACTCGACGAGCCTAGCATGTACAGACATGGCCTCGGAACACAAGAGACCGAAAGGTCGAGCATGAGTCGTATGGTGGATACGATCAACATGAAGATGTTCACTGATGATGACTAGTCCGTCTCACGTGATGATCGGATATGGCCTAATTGACTCGG